TTTCACCAAATTTTAAATTTGATGTCAACTTTGATGAATCGTTGGCGATGGTCTAATAGATACAATTTAGATACAATGTTTGATGTTGTTTTGATGATGATGTTTGATGTTGTTTTGATGATGATGTATAAATGGGACTAAATGGTGCATAAGAAAACTTTTAGAACTAAATGGTTCAATTTTTCAGAAAATAGAATTTATGGGTAAATTTTCTTAGTTTTAAAATCTTAATTTTTTTTGGGGGAAATTTATCAGAAAGTCTCCTATGACGAAATTGTATTCCATTTGGTCCCATGAATATTTTGTTTGATTAGGCAGTCCATGATAGTAGAGATATCTTACTGATAACTCCTTTTTTGAATTACATTGTTATGTAGGAGACAAATATGCCCTCACATCAATTATGGGCTGTTATGTTTTCATTTTCTTCCCATTCTCTCTCTCTAACCAGCAAAGGACGAAGCAGACGCGAAGCTGTGTCCGGCTCTCTCACACACACACACACACACACTTCCATTCTCTTCGCAGCTTTCTTCTCATCTACCTCCTCTTCCCTCATCCACCATTTCTTCACAATTCAAAACGTGACACAATTCGAAACGTGACACAACCCACGTCACCAAAAAAAAAAAAAAAAGTTTCAAATTACCTGTGTTCACATCACAACCCACGTCACAAAAAACCAACCCACAACAATTTTCAGTTCAGTTTTGTTCTCTCCGGATTTTGTCTTCCCTTTCCATGGATTCCCTCGAATCATCAACGCCCACATCGGAAAATCCCTACACTCTGCTCTTCAAGGCCACCACGATGATACCCATTTCGCATTATGCATTGGGTCTTTTGATTCTCGGTGTTGTTTTTTTGTACAATTTGTTGGAGTTCCATTTCGTTGAAGATCTTGTATTCCGAGGAAGTTCGGTGACTCTGACGTACAATTCTTGCTCCGAAATTTATCAAGGCGTTGCCTCCAAGTGTCGAATTCTTCACGGAAGGTATCTAATTGTTAAAATTGTTTTTGTTTTTGGTTTTCTGTGATGTGGGTAGTAATGGGTTGGTGCCCAATTTCAATTTTCATGGTCGTGAATTTGTTGATTTGGGTTTGTCATAAATTGGCGTGGAATTTGGAATTTTTGAATTTTCTGTGGATTGTGTTGCGTTGGTGCTTGAAATGTGAAGGTATTTGACGATGCCGTGCCAATTGAAAAACAAAGGGTCAAACTGTGGGAAAGCCGAAACGTGACACAACCCACGCCACCAAAAAAAAAAAGAAAAAGTTTCAAATTACCTGTGTTCACATCATAATTCACGTCACAAAAAAAAAAAAAAAAAAAACAACAAGCACACAAACTATGTGTCAAATTACTTGTGTTCACGTCACAACCCACGTCTCATGTTTTGAGTGTTACACACTTACTAAATAAAAAAACGTATTAGTGTGCTTTTTGGATTAGCGTGACATACAAACACCCATTCACCTTATCCCATACAAACTCACACCAAATGTCAATCAATAATACTAGCAGTGGCAAAATTGTCAACAAACAAATTAAGGGACCACCCAGTTACTAAGAAAACATTCAGGACCTTATGGATTACAAGTCCACAAAATGGAATTTACTGGTCAATTCTCCTTTTTTTTTAACTATTTTATATGCACCTTACTTAGATGTATCTAAAAAGTAAAAAAATTGTGAAAAAATATTTTTAAAAATGAAGAAATACATAAAAATGTACTGAATTCTCATTTTTTTTTTATATTTTTGGTATTTAGTGAATTTTTAAAAAGTTTTTTTTACAAATTTTTTACGTTTTAGGTATATTTATGTTAGGTATATCTAAAAATTTAAAAATTACTTAAAATATTAAAAAAAAAATTAGTAAAAACAAAAAAACTCAAAAAACAAGAAAGTAAAATTTTCTGAAAAATATTTTTGGAAAACTCTAACCAAGCAGTGTTAATTTTTTTACCTCATATTTTAACCAAAAAATTAAAAATTACTAAAATAGTATTCCCGAACGAGGTTTTTAAGAGGGAAGACACACATACAAGAGACAACTCACTGATTTTTTGGCATCTCTTATATTAGCATATTTTTTATTTATTTTTTTAAGTCACATCATTTCTTTATATTTTTACATGTTTTTTTATAAAAAATTAAAAAATATTTTTAGCTAGATCATTTCAAATAAACTATTACTGCCTCTACAAAAAAACTGGTGGTCAGTGTTGATTTGAGAGGGAATAGCACCAATAAGTGCATCTTTCTTCTCTCCATTCTTGAATACCACATCGGGTTGCAATTGATTGAGGAATACTTTAGAAAGGGGCTATGCTACAGACCCTCAGCTGGGGCACCCCTAGTGACCCCCAGTGGCAGGTGGCACATTGTCATTGGGTGGACTTCAAA